AGGCGTGCGGGAAACACAGGAAGAAGCATTTGGTTAATTTTGACATATATATATATATATATATATATATATAATGGAACGTTTTAAAGAAGAAGGGTTGCGATTGGCGGCACTAAACCACTTCTGCAACCGCTTTCATTCGAATTAGAATTTCAAGTGAGCAGTAATATCGTGTTCCTTTTTTTTTTTTTGTTGGTAGAAATATCGTGTTGATTTATTGTTGTTTGTTTAAGATTAAAAAAAAGATTTTTATACAAGGTTAAAATGTATAAAACCCACCTGAATTTTAAAACAATTGCATATAATCTCCATTATTTTAAAAAATTTAACATTAACCCACTAATCTTTAATTTTATTTTCAAAACACCCTATTGTTTATTATGTTATTTTTTTCAATGTCATTTAAGTAAAAAATATTAGTAAATAAAAATATTATATTGTATAACTATTTATAATAAATTTATTATATTTTTTGGATAGTTGAGGCATTAATAACAAAAAAAAATGTTATTATCACTGTATAAAATTTTAAATATTTATATTTATATTAGTTTTATTCTTTTTTTCTATCAATGGTGCATAATTTTATTATTTTAAAAGATATTTTTTTTATATTTTTATGCTAGATTAATGTAATGCACATGGCTAAAATATTTAAAATTTTAAATATTATTATATTATATTAATTTATCTTTTAATAATAGAAAAATATGCATCATTGATAACAAAAAAATAAAAAAATAACACAAAAGTAAATATTTAAAATTTTATATGGTGATAATAACATTTGTTCTGACTATTATCAATGCTTTAACTATCCAAAAAATATAAAACATTTATTATAAATAGTTATACAATATAATATTCTTTTAATAAGATTTTTTAGTTGAATAAAATTTTAACTCTCATGAAAAAATAATATAATTAACAATAAGGGGTTTTAAAAAATAAAATTAAATGTTAGGGGCTAGTTTTAAATTTTTAAAGGTGACGAGAATTATATGCAACTATTTCAATGTTCAGGGAGTTTTATGTATTTTAACTTTTAGATAATGTAGAGATTTTATAAAAAGAAATTTTGTAAATATGTTATACTCTATCCAATAAAATAGTTAGTTGTCTCACAACTAACATCATTTTTTTATCTTTACTCCTATTTAATAAGATGTTTTACTTTAAAATAAAAAATAATTTATTTATTAGAGGCATTTTTGGTAAAAGCACGTTAATTATACTTTAAAATAATAAAAATATTTTATATTTTTTTAACATCTAAACTTTCAAAAAATGGTTTACGTTTTTTGATGGAAAGAGTAAAATATTGACATTATTTTATACATAGTTATAATATAAAAAAAGCACTTATTAACTAATTATTTTTAAATTTTATAATACCTTCCTTGATTTCTATTTTATTAAAATAATTTATTATTTAATTATTTTAAAATTTTATTATATGTTTGTGTATCAAGCATTTTTAAGATATTCTCTCATTCACGGGGGATGATTTTCTCCTCTTCCTTTTCCATTCTCTTCTATTTTTTTCCTTCATCGATCATTAGACCAAAGCAAAGCATGAATGGCTCAAATTTGATCTCTTATAAAATTATTATTTAAATATTAAATTGTACTAAAAGATAAATAATCTAATTCAAATTACTAAAGTTTAATTTGAATATTTTAAAACTACAGTAAAAATGAAGTAAAAAGATATATTTTATAAAAGATCACATTTAAACCATCCAAAATGTCAATCTTAATGGTTAGAAAAGGAAGAGGAGGAGGAGAGGATGGAAAAGGAAGTGGAAAGAATTTCCACCTCTTACCTATTGCATCAGATTTTATTTTCAGAAATTACTTAACTTCTTAAAATAATTAATTTTCTTTTCAAATTTTGATTATTTTCAAAAAATTAAATAAATATCATAAAAATTCACAAGGTAATTTTTTTTAACAGGTGATATTTTCATAAATTAAGCTAAAACGCAGTGACCTTCATTTTGATTTATTTTGGAAGGTCTTAATTGGGATTAATTAAAGAGTTAATATGTAATTTGAACTCTAAACTATAGATTTAGGAACAATCTGAACATTAAACTTTTATTTTGTATATTATAAACCCTAAATAATTAAAGTTGAGACAATTTTTCTCTTACCATAAAATTTAAACAAATGTCCATTAGCTTTTTAATAAATGAGACCTAATGTGAGAGGAAGACTTGAATTTAATGAAAATTACACATTATGCCCCCATATTTAAAAAAACTAAGGACATTTAAGGTTTCAGACACTCATGGACAAAAAGTTTAAGGGTGAAATTGCCCATTACTCTTATACTAATTGGGTTGGACATCCTATACTAACAAGCGAAACAACATTCTCCTTAAACAATTTTTACAAGAGCATAATTTCCTTTCTATTAGAGACCTATTTTCTTTTTCTATTATTTGTTGATGTAAAATAGTTCTGAAATCCACTCACCATGATAGTATTGATCCATTTTGCCATTTTTTTTTGTTGTTAAAATGAAGCTTGGTTCCTACAATTGCATTTACCACTTCTAGCTTCTTTGACCCATGTCAGATGGTCAAAATATATCAAGATGCCTTACTATCATTGTGAGTAGACCCTATAATTATTTTACACCAACAAATAATAAAAAAGATGATGGGTCTTTGATGAAAGTATAGTTTTGCTTTTGAAAAAAATTGCTTATGGGAAATATTATCTCATTCTTTATTATAGAGTACCCAACGCTATTGCAAAATAAGTTTAGGAAGAAAAAGATCTTTAATCCTTACTAATTTTAGTGACATACGTAATTGAGTATAGTAATTATGGCTTATTATTCTTGTACTCTATATTCTTGGCACCTTTTACTCCCTGATAGGCCAAAATGTCTCGCATCCAAAGAAGGACTTCGACCTTTGTCTGTGGGTGAAGTGTTGGATTTAGTCCACCATTGGTGGATTTGGGCAAAGCCCATTTTCTGTTTGGGGTCTATCCGTATGGACAAGAACTGCGGCCTTGAAGCCTAATAATTTCACTATCCACACTAAAAACCTCATTTGGTCCAAACGCAAGATATTGGGCAGCTTTTATATATATATATATATATATATATTTTAAATTATATTTTTATTTGATTATATTCCACTGAAATAATTAATAAAACTATTTTCAATAAATCAAATATTACATCTGTTATCCATTGAAAAGTACAATTGGAATGATGTAAAATTTTTTAGAAATTCAAGATTTTAACTAACACTTTTTTATAAATGTAAATTAATTAATAATAACTTATATTGTAGTTTAGAGGAAATATTCTTCTTAGAATTGGAGGGAACGGTTATTTTCCTAATGTCATGCACAATGAAAATTGTGTGTGTGGGTGTCAGTTTCAATTTCAAGATTAAAACACATAAGAAACAAGTTCTCTCTCCGCCTCAAGTTCTCTCTTTTTTCTCAATCCTGTGTGATTTTGTTGCGAGCCTAAGATTGAGCTCTAAGTGTAATTCAGTCTCCAACGTGATTCCAAGTTTTACCGACGGAAAAGTGAGGGAGAGTTTTTACAGAGGCTTGAACAGTAGAAGTAAGGCATTATTCTAACCTCCCAAAATCCTTCATGAAGTGAGGAGGTGAAATTAATGGAAGAACTTCATTTGCCCAAAATACTATGCGTTGCAAGAGCACCATGCTTAGCTTACAAGCATGTCATAAAATTGATCACTTGGTCCAAAGCCACGTATTAGGGCATAACAAGCCTAGTCATTGCCCTTATTACTCCTTCTCTTGACATGTAGCATATTGTGCAACTTCCTATGTTATTAAATGAGGATATGAGTTAATACATATTGTTGACCGAAAATGAAAGAAGAAATTATATTATTCATCAAGTACTTAATCACCATGATGGTTTTCTTGGTGCAAGGTTGACTTTGAAGCGGTGGTACATAAACTGTGAGAAGAAGAAGCAGGTTCTTGGATGGATTCAAATCATATCATACTTTTATTTGTTGAGAGAATCGGTGGATGAAATCATGAGCGGCATTTTGAAGGAAAAGGACTCACCCATGCTTGAAAGTAGGCTTAAGATAAAAATACTTAAAAACCTTTTTTTTTTTTTTGGTTCATGTGCTTATGGTATCGTAAGTTAACAATGGTACATAGGTCTTACATTAACTTTATGAAAGAGGTCAAGCTATTTTAATATATTGGGGGAACGTTGGCATCTTTTATATATAGTTAATGAAATTTCTAATTCTTCAAATTTTTTTAATTATCAACTTGATCCTTTAAGTCTAATTTTTATTGATTTGAACTCTTAAATTTGACTAAATTATCAATTTAGTATTTATTATTTAAATATGAGGTAATACTGTTAAGATTATCTGATATAGATAACAGAATAATGATGACATCCATGTAAATTAATGAAACAAAGGGTGCTTAGGTAAAAAAAAAACAAGATTAGAATTTTTAAAAAACAAAATTAAAGAACAAAATACAATGTGAGGAACTTGATTAATAAAAATTAAACTGATTGGAGGACTAATTTGTTCTCATTCACTATATATGCATCTTACACAGTAGATTAATTTGATAGTAAACTTATTTTTAAAACATAAAGGATTAATATGATAATTTAAGAAAATACAAGTAATCAAATCAATAATAATTAAATTTGAGAAATTAAATTGATAACTGAGAAAAATTTAAAGGACTAAAAGTTTTATTATCTAAACAATAAATAAACAATAAAATCAGACGACAATTTGGACAATTATCATATATCCACTCTGCCGTTGGCACTACATTTTCAAAGCTAACATTTCCACGTAGTCTCAATCCTCATGCACCATTGAAGCTAAAATATAATACAGAACAAACCCTCAAAATCCTCAATTATAAATACCCTCCATTGCTTTCTGAAACTCCGTCGATCACCCTCAAGCCAATATTCATAAAAAAGCATTTTCAGTGTGATCTTTGTGAAGATGGCTTCAAAGGCCCTTGCAACCTCTCTTCTTCTCACTCTCAGCTTTCTCTTCTTCACCATGGTTAACTCATGCGCTCCATATTGCACGCCGCCGTCATCGCCGACACCAAAACCTCCGACTACACCAACTACCCCTTATGTTCCAAACCCTAATTCTCCATCCCCTCCTTCTTCCTCGTCCCAGGTCCATTGTCCTATAGATGTCCTCAAGTTTGGTGTGTGCGCCAACGTTCTGAATTTGGTGAACTTTACAATAGGTTCTCCACCAACTGTCCCATGCTGCAGCCTCATTATGGGCCTCGTTGATCTTGAAGTTGCTGCATGCCTTTGCACTGCGCTTAGAGCTAATGTTCTTGGGATCAATCTCAACATTCCAATTTCCTTGAGTATCATTCTTAACAATTGTGGAATGAACAACTCTGGCTTCCAGTGTAATTAGTTTGAGGGTAAAAAATTTAACATTTAAACTATAGATTCAGAAGCTTTTGAAATCTTAAATTTATTTTTAATACGTTTTTACCTCATCATGGCAATTTCTCCATGTCATTAACATTGATAGTTAGTTAACTAAAGAAAAATAAAGTAAAGGGCCTCAATATATAATTTTTGATGTCTATTTAATTAATTTTCTAATTAACTAACTATCAAAGTTAATGGCAAGGAGATATTGCAACAATTTAAAATGTTTAGAGGTAAAAATGCATAAAAAATAATAAGTTTAAGTTTCTAGACACTCCTAGTTCTATAGTTTAAGAATAAAATTATTATTTTACCCTTTATGATTTTAATCTTGTTTTATAGAATCGTGTTGTTTGTTTCACCAAGTTTAATTTGCTTGCTCTTATTTCGTTGTGTGTTTTGAGTTCATATAAGTAATCGTAGCTTGCCTTTTAATAAAATGCCAATAACCATTCATAGCTTTTGAATGGAATTAGTTATAATTATACTTATCATGATCTATATGTTGATTATCTTCAGTTAGAATTGACTTCACTCATGATTCATTATCGTCTTTGCATATTCACTCGTATTCACAGTATAATTATAATCTCTAATGTTTATGTTTAAAATGTCACTTGAAATAAAAATTTTACCATTTTCCATTATCCGAATTTATATTTTATGAAAGAAATTAAAATGTGGTTCCTTAATATGCAATTTACTTAATTATCGTGTGGAAAGAATTGATTCGAATTTATATTAAAAGAGTAAAAATACTTTGGCTAGCTTCCTTTCTATATTATCTTAACTATGGAGACCTTACCAATTTAATTATTACTTTGTCATGCCGCTTAAGGTTTGCTAAGCATGCAAGACGAGCTAAGTCCTTGAATGAGTTAATGTTCCAACAACTACAAGTTTCCAAAATCCTTTGACGCAAATTTTCTTGGAGTGCCAAAGCAAATCAGAGTTTAGAGGCCGCAAGTGTACACAAGGAAATGATAGTACATTTCTTGAAAAGTGAGTATCAAGAGAGCACTCTCGATGATTGAAGGAAAAAGCAAAGTAATGGACCTAGATAACTTAAATCGGAAGAAAGGGGCCATGCTGGGTGAATTTGGGCTTGACATAGAGTCAGTCGAATTGCTTGATGCAGTCTGGTTTGTTGAGAGTGCCTGGAGAGACTTCTAGCGGTGCGTTCATTACCTTTTATTCCCTCCGTCTCTATATATAAGTATTTTTAATTAAATTTTATATATTAAAAAATATTTATTATTTAGTTGAACTCACATAAAAATATAATAATTTTTCAGTTTTACCTTTAATCATATCATAATTAATATCATGATGATGGTAGGAAAAACATATATTAATAATCTATTTTATTTTTCAAGACAAGAATAAAATTGTCTAATTACTTAAAAATATCATTGACATTCCTTATATTTAGGGACAAAATAATGTTTTTAGAAAACATAAAGACGGAGGGAGTATATAGGCAGACAACAATGCTCTAATTCAAATTAAAGTTTTGCCCACCTAATGGAGTGATAACTGTTCGCGCCTATCCACGGAACGTGCCAAAGTAGGTGCTCTGCGTTTCTCGGGTAAAGAGTTATGGCCTTAGAACTTGGTCACTGCTCGACCTGAAAACAGCGGTTTATTACGTTCCGAAAGGTCCAACCTCTTAAGGCATAGGCTTCTCCAGTTGGAATGTTCTTGGTCGTCGGCCCATAGTGTAATTTCGGTCAAACAATATGGATAGGAGAATCCTCGATTGACAATACATTTGGAGAATATAAATAAAGCGGAGAACAAAGATGACGAATTAAAGGGGAGACTATAAATATATTTATTAGGGGAGTAAAGATTTGCTTTGTTTTCATTTGTGAAAGCCAATGAACACAATTTCATTTTACCTCAACATAATGAATCGATTTTATTGCCTTGGAAGACCTTCCAAATAAACCAAGTCTTAAGAGACATTATAGACTCGGATCGATTCAAATACGATTTCGCGGTTGTGAAAATCGTTATTACCACAGGCCGGTCGCGACCCTTCTGCATGAGGTAATAATCTTGACGTCCTATAAATATTCACAAATCATATTCCTATACTTGCTTCATACATTTTTGTATATGATTCAGAGAAAAATAATGGCGCAAGCAGCAGTTTGGGGAAATGGGTCTATGATTGTGTTTTTGATTATAGTTGCGATACTCTTGATTGGGCCACATTTGATGGGTCCAATTGCACCACCAAGTTTTGCACTGTTGATTGTGTTCCCAATAGTTTTATCTGCACTTCTTATCTCCCTCATCATCGCTTCCAAGTGAAGGCAGCTTCATCACTGTCATATTGCATGCATGTATTTACGTCGTATTTTGCAGATTTTTCTTCTTCAAGACTTCACAGTGTCGTCTTACTTGTGGACGTGAATTATTTCGACCAACAGTTGACTGTTTAATTTATTTTCGTCTTCATTTTCAACTGATCCTTTTCTGATTAGTTATCAGATCCTGGGATCCTACGTATTGCGTGAATTGTTTATGCAAGAGCTCTCCATCAGTTTAATAAAATCCTCTGTCCCAGTTTGTAAAATATTTTGGAGGTAATTTGAAATATGAAACACCTTTACTGAAATGAAGTTTTATTAATTAATTATACTTATTCCAATATTACTCTTTATTATTTGTCTCCCTCCATTTAATGTAAGGAAATTTATATTTGTATTTTAAAAATATAAAATTATAAAGTATATTTAATGAATTTTATTAGTATACATAATTTTATTAAAAAAAGTGTCTTACAAATTGAAATAAAGAGAATAACATTCTTGCCAGTTAAATTTATTTGGTGCATGGCCTTCAGGTTCGCTCTGTTTTTCATGACTAATTTGGTGTACTTGCAAACTATCAATTTCGTTTACGTTCTTTTATATAAGATGCTTGGAAGAAGAAAGTGATGAAGCGCAAACATTTTCGCTTCTGTTGGAATTATTATTTTAACAATTTTAAATATGATCAAACCATTTATTCGCCATGAAGGCTTTTGGGTAAGGTTTTTTTTTTTTTAATAGCACAAGGAGCAGGTTTATTCTCATTAAATTACTACATGTACAATGACTGAAATTTAAACTTCTAACCAATTAGTTAAATGATGAGAATCACTACCAGGCATGTCAACTTTAGTTGATTTTTGAATCAGTTAATACAACAATAATAATTTGGAATTGATAAAAGTTGACAAAACTTAAAGAAAAAGAAAATTTGTAATCAATTTTCTCGCTATACAAAATTTAATTATTCATTACATATATCAATAACCATAAGTCTTGAAAAATATGACTTATAATTTATATTTCATATATAAACCATTTGCTTATTATTATAGTGTATTATATCAATCAGATAATAAAAGGAATTGATCTGAAGAAATGTTTATAAGAACTCAACCATAAACTTTGAACCAGTAAAGACCAAATTAAAAATTAAATGCAATATCGGGGATATTGAAAATTGCAATGGTCCAGAAAATAAAACAAAATATAATTATTTCTTTCTTTACCACATGTACATTTGGGCCTTGAGTTCGACTCCAGATAGTGCCATAGGATAGAAATTTTTGTTTCTCCTTTTAGGTATAGCGTGAAGAAGAGGAGGGGAAGAAGCTTAAGGAAATCAAAATCAGAGACAACATTGACGAATGGTTGCCGTACAATCTATATGACTCTGGTGCGGGTTGGTGCTAGTGGCTTTCATTCTTCGTTCTCCTTTTGTTGACGGTGTGCTTCCATTTGCTGCTACTAGAGGTCATGTGTGGGAACAACTTCATCCTTCTCTCCTCTTCTGCTGTGTTGAAGAGTGACTTTTTTTGGTGTGAGGTGAATGGAATTTGTGTTGTGAGTCTCAATCTTTGCAGATTATGTGTGTCATGAATGAAGTTTACTTCCTTTTAGTCTATTTAAAAATCATTTTTAATATTTTTATTGGAATTAAAAAAAATCTTAAATTTTATTAACCCTGTTTAAAAATTCAACAAGTTTTCAACTTTAAGCCTATCAAATATATCTACTTTAAAATAAAATATTGGAAGAATCATAATTAGGTCCCACATAAAAAAATTAATTATTGTAAGATCCATTAACAACTGAACTAAATTGCATTGATAACATGTAGTTGTGTTATAAATGCAGTTTAGTTCAGTTGTTAATAGGCCTTACAATAATTAATTTCCTTATATGAGATTTCAATGTAATTCTCCCTAAAATATTCTAGCATTTAATAAATTTTGTTACATTTAATGGAGCTAAAATGATAAAAATGAATATAATAATTAATGAGATGCCTTATAAATAGAATCAAGATAAACATTATCTCTCTATCCTGTCAATAGGGCCAAAGGAGTATATAGAATTTTTGCTTTAAAAATAGAGAATTTGAGTAGCACTTCCTCTATAAAGAGCTACTTTAAAAAAAAAAAAAAAAAGAAACTTGTTGTAGCAATTTCATTAGGTAAGCACTACTACATGTTAATGAAAAAAAATACAATACACATGCATTTCCATCATGTAAGCTCTACAATTTTAAGAGAGATTTGGTTTCTCGAAATTATAGGAATAAAATAGATTAAAAAACTAAGAATAAAAATGAATTAAACTATTTAATTTTTCATAAAAAGCATGATGAAACTCAATTATATGTCACAAATGAGAGAATCACTACACTCACCACATATCTTATAAAACATGATTCTCAATTTCATAAATTAAATTACCATTCACTTCTCATGGATACAATTGTCTTATCTCTGCTTCACATCTTAATCATTCTTTTTTATGTTTATTTTTTAATCTATTTTATTCATTTCCTTTCCAACAAGCAAACGAGCCTTATTGTACTACCAAGATACTTCTTGATAATGAGGATGTACAATGCTTTTTATTATTTGTAGATCTCCCTCGTGGAAGTGTAACTTCTTTCTTGAATCATGCATTG